GGCAGTTTTTACAACTTTCAATGGAGCTTTTGATTTCCTGTATATCTGTTTGCATGTTTTATATATTCTGTTTGTTTCTTATATTGTTCATCCAGAGATTCTATCCTTTTGTGTAGTTCCTCCAATTTTTTAGCTGTGTCTCTTTAGATATGTTCATCATCTCCTTCATTTCTTTTATTATTTCTTCTTTTACCTGATAGATTATTTCTAGTTTGAATTCCTTCAAAGCTTCCCGGAGCTGCTTCTTTATTTCTGTTACTATTATTTCAGGTATTTCAGGTATATGGCATGTATTTTCTTCTATGTACATGGCTTCTAGGCTTTCTTGGGATGGGTTGAATGTTTGAGATTGCATTTTGGTCTTTCGTTTTGTCGTTTTCCTATATTACTGTGTTTCAAGTGTTGTTCCAGAGTTTCCCCTGGTATGTTGTAAATTGACTCATGTCCTGGGCTCTTGGGACTCCTCTTGTAGTAGCTCCCTCCTTGGGCAGCAGAGCCCCTGGATTAAAAGAGGCTTGCCAGGCCCCTCTTAGGTAGACTTAAGCTTCATCAATTTGCACAGTTTCCCCTTCTGGTAGCAAAGCTCCCCTAAGGGAGGCCACCTGGTGTGGTCCAGGCAATCCCAAATCCTGTTAAGCCCAGTATAGTGTGGCTGCAAGCCCATTGGGCCCCCAACCTCCTAGATCAAGGATCTCATAATCTCCCAGGAATTGGATGTTTTGTAACAACCCAGCTCCTTGGATGGCAAAGCTCCCCAGGCTTATCAAAGGTTCCTTTATGGCATAAGTAGGCCTCAAACCTCCTCAGCAGAACTGCTCCTTCCTCCAGGCAGTGGCGGTAGTGCTGGTGCTCTCCAGATCATAAGAAGGGCACAGGCAAGGTCAGAGCAGGTTTCAGCAGCTCAGCCCAGCTCCCTCCTTCCAGCCAGCACCTGTGGTGTGCTCCTTGGCCAGAGGAGGCAGAGGACGGACCTGAGTCCCCTCAGCTGGGCTGGGCGCTCACCTTCTGGTCTGCAGCAGTGGTAGTATGGGCCCGGACAGGAGAGGCGGCAGCAGGGCCGGACCGAAGTCGCCTCCGTTTGGCTGGGCACTCACCTTCCGGGCCACAGCGGTGGGAGTATGGGCCCCAGCCTGTAGAGGCGGCAGCAGGACAAAGTCCCTTCCTGAATGGATGGAAACAAATAGATGCGCAAGAATCCAATGTAGCCTAAAAGGAATTTTTTTCCATGCAGTGGCCAAAAATACAATTATATTAGTAATTCCATGTGTTCGCCTTAAACACTGATGTATGCACATGCACGCACACACAATCTCTCCTTCTCATCTTACGGGGTAAAGGGAGTGAGTGGGAAGAGGCATCCACAAGCAGGCTCTGGGGTTCATTTAAAGGGCATCTGCCCTACACACTGGTGGGTACCTCGAGGCTACCAAGAGCTACAGGGCCTCTCACGTGAACCTTTTTAACTGTACTAGAACATATTTAATGCTGTTTACACTCCTTGCAGGGAAATGGAATATGTGTGTATTACATCTTGATTCCTTTTTCTCATTGCTATCCATTCCTTATTTTGTTTTCTTTTAGTTCATATTTCCTTATATTTTTTCAAAGAAAATGATCTCTATTGGTACGTTTTAGCTATGCATAATGACTGCATTCATAATAGGGAATTTGTATCTGTACCTGAAATAACTTCACTCTTTTTCCCCTGTTCTGTTACCCTCCCTTCAGCCTTTCTTCCCCTTCTTGTTGACAAAAGCTTTGTTTCCATTTTTCCTTCACTCCCCTTTTCATTAGGGGAAATGCTCTGTATTTCCCTTTCTTGATTGGACCCTCTAGTTTTGGTAGCAGAATAACCCTTGCTTCTAGGAATGAATCTGGGAATACCGTTCCCCTTTCACTTTCAGTAAAGAGTTTGAGAGGTAATGTTTACTAAGTCTTGTTGAAATATCTTGCAGAATTCAGCCATGGATCCAGCAGGACCTGTACTTAGATAAGTTTTTAATTATATCTTTGATTTCACTGACTGGTATTGGTTCATTTAGACTTTTTATATCTATCTGATTCAGCCTTGGTAAATCCTGTGTACCCAGGAATCTGTCCATTTCTTCTGCATTCTCCCCCTTACTGAAATACAAGTTCTGTATCTTATTTACTTTTCTGTCATTGCTCAGACAAAATACCTGATGCCCAAAACTGAGGAAAGAAAGGTTTATTTAGCTCACAGTTTGTGGAGGTTTCAGTCCATAATCAGCTGGCTCCAAGGTAGAGTGGTGTGGAAGAGGGGCAAGAGTTCATGGCAATAAAAGACAGCAAAAGCAGCAAGAGCAAAAAAAAGGCAAAACAAGTCTCTTTCTGTCCCTTTTATTCAGAATGCTGGGATTAGGGGTGGTGCCAATCCAATCAGTGGATTGATTCAGCAATCTCCCAGCATCCTTAATCGTGATTTGCCCTAAAATTCAGGCTGGTTTATGTCCAGACCCATTCAGCCTACAGCAGTTAGTGTGCTGTCTATGGGCTTTGGGGTCCACTAGATGGAGTCAGCAGTGGTTATGAGTTTTGAGCTCAGTTAATCCCTCTCCAACATGGTTCCTGGCCAATTGTCCTCTCCTGGGTGATGTCTGAACCCACACCACTCACCAGCCACTGCAGTGCTCCATTCCCTCTGCTCTTTTCCATTGCTGCCTCTCTCTGTGGAGGCTACTGAGTAGCCAGCATTCACCACAGGACTGCAGGTTTGAGTTGCCCCTCCCACACACTGAGTCTGGGCTCCAGGAGAAAGTGCCACCTGCCACCTTCTCCTCCTCTGCTGAAGTTTCCCTTTGCTGTCCCGGTGGGCTTCAATCCTCGCACTTCAGATCCTTCCTGGTCCCCAGGACTCACTGCCCTACTTTTTTTTGTCACGTTGCTATATTCCAGTGTCTGGACACCAAATCTCAGAGGCTCTTTGTTGCTCACCACTTTGCCATTTTCCCAGAAGTTCTCTCCCTCCACCTCTTGATCCCTTTTCCCTTTAGGAAAGCTCCAGCCCCCTACTTTCTATCAGCTATCTTTTTCTTTGCCCTTCATTTGTACTTTGGATTTTTCATATAAGGGAGACCATGCAATGTTTAAGCTTGTGTGCCTGACATTTCACATAACATTGTTTCAAGGTACATCCATTTTGCTACACGTGATTCAAACTATCTTTCCTTTGTAGTTTTATTTTGAGGGATATAGACTATGAGATCTTTGAAGTTCTCCTTAGGAAAAAAACACATACTTCACTTGAGTTTAGCCAATTTATTTCTTTAAATAAATGTGCATTTGATAGCAGCAAGTATCAGCATTATCACCACCTATAAAGTAATTGATATTCAAATAAATGTTAATCACTATAGAAATTATACTGATGAGCATATTACAAAGAAAAAAGGGAAGAAAAGAAAGAGGGAAGACAAGACAAAAAGTGTTGCTGGGCCTGGTAGCCCGTAGTCCGAGCCATGATCTGGACAGTATTGCTTAAACCATGCCCAGGCAACATCATGAGATCCTTGAAAACAGGAGAGGAAGGACAAAAAAAAGGAAAAGGGGAGAAAGAACAAATGAGCAGCTTTGGATTTACTTATCAGAATCAAAGCACAAATTCTGCTTTCCAGAAATCTGGGGAGAGGCTTCTCAGATGTAAGGTGAAAGTCACAGATTTCTAGGAATGACCTATGTGAATACACACTAGTGGCCCACATTCCTCCCACAAGTCTCCCCAGATGAACAGGTTACAGAGCATATGTGTGTCCATGCAAAGGGTCGCTTCTGAATGGGTCCACGCATAAGCAATAGCCTACCAGTGAGTCCATCTGTGAGCCAGGCTGCTCCACTAAGAAGCAAATTAAACCCTTTTAATTTCCCTCTTTCCTTACAACAGAGAGATTTTTTTAAAAACAGCAGCAGGCCATGATCAAATAACAAGAGAGTAAAAGCACAATTTTGGAGCCTAAAAGTCAAATGAACACTTGGACCACACCCATGAGAAAGTGAGATTTGAAGGCTTTGCAAGTAAAACTGAGACTCATCTGGCTTCGCCTGCCCCTGGTCGCAGCCCTTGCTCCACACCGCCCGCTGGCTCCTGCATCACTTGCTCCTTCAGCATCTCCTCATGGACCGCGACCCAGCAAGGACCCTGGCACCCTGCTCAGTGAAGCTGCCATGAGCTGGCCGAGCGCTCCGTGGAAGAGGCACTTGGCGCTGCTGGATTCAGGAGAGCTGAGGGACCATTATTGCATCACAATGCTCACCCAGACAGTCACAAACTTCCACAGAGCAAAGGATGTCGAATGAAGTTTGCACATCTCACCCAGGTTTTGCTTTCCCATCCTCAATTTCTAGTACATGTACATAATTTAAATGCTTGTCTTACACACATACACACACACACACACACACACACACACACACACCCTCCCACATACAATCCCACAAACACTGCCAACTCGTTTTTCTTAAGAACACCTGGGCTCAAGAGGGCTGGGAGCACAGCAGGACCACCAGGTGGTCTGGCTCAGGCACGCATGGACAAGGGCCCAGAGCTCCGGAGGGAGAGGGTGCTCCACAGGCAGCATCCTCACTGTGCCTCTCTAGGGAGCAGCCAGAGTGTAGCCACTCTGGTGCATAGCCCCTCGGCCTTGCCTGGGCTCTTGCTGTCCCCACATCACAGGAGAAGGAACAACCCCTGCCTGCCACGAGCCGAGGGGCCAAGGCCCACAGGAAAGTTACAGGAAGACAGCTTCTCCAGATGACTATTCCTGACTTCCTGGTGGTCATAAACTGAGGATGAGGTGACCTGGGGAGGCATTTTCCTAGGGCATTTCCCTCAGAGAGTCACTGTTACACTCATAAGGGCATGAAGTAAAACTGGCCTTTTCCAACACTTTTCCAATAAATACTCATGTTTACACAATGGAGATTTATAAACTTCATGAAAGCTTCTTGGGCATGCGATGCCCTCTGCTGGCTTCCACACTCACCAATGTCGTCGGTCCTGTTAATCCAATCATTCTCCAGAGAGTCCTGCACAATGTCCCTGCTCATTAGCCAGTCCCAGGCCCTCTTGATGTCCTCCTCGTTGTTGTCGTCCTCCTCAGAGTCCACCATTTCTGGTAATCCACTCAAGTCCATATCACCAGCCTCACTTTCTGTGGCCTGAAGATAGGCAAAACAATTTTTAAAAGAATGTTTTAAGCAGATCAATCTTTGCAGCTCCAAACAGAAAAGAACAATTTTAGTTTGATTTTTCTGTAACTATGTTAAGTGGGTCCAGCACCTCGCAACTACTCGCCAAATGTTATATAAAAGAATTACTTCAACAAAACATAAGTGATTTTATCTACATGAGTGATTTTATCTATTAAAATTTAAACCAGAATCAGTAATTTTTATCTCAGTAATTCTGACTTCTTACCTGTGTGGAATTTGAAACACAGAACAAAGAAGAAAAGGATAGTATTTGCTTTCACTATGTTTTTCAAAGAAAATGGTTAAGATAAGGGCCTCAGGGAGATGAACTGTTAATTCTACGCAATTCCTCTTCCAGAAAAATTAGAGGAGTTTCCTAATGCGAAGAAGACTGACCACTTTCCCCCTATTAGAAAGTCATAAAATATGAACTGTAAATTAATGGTGACCTGATAAACACACAAACCTAGCCCAGACCAAGACCTACGGTTTTTTTTTGGGGGGGGGGTGCTGGGGATCAAACTCACAACTTTGCATTTGCCAGGCAGGAGGCTCTTATACCATTGAGCTAAAACCCCCAGCCTGACGTGGGGTATTCTAACAGCCACTCTCCAATTCCAAGTCAAGCCTGAAGGCAACGCATCTCACCATCAACTGCTTCCCAGGCAAAGGCAGAAGGGGAAAGGACCCCAATATGTGGACACACTCATGGTGCCAGGTGCAGTCTCTCCTGCCCAGCTGTCTGCATTCCAGACTACTGTCTTTTTAGGTCAACCCACAGCCTTTCTGCATGGGGTCAGCAACCTGTAAACTTGCATCATATTGCTCTTAGTTAAGGTCTTAGTTAACATAAAGACAGATTCACTCCTGGGAGAGAGAATGAACTGAATAAAAAGCTAACCACATTTCCAACTGAAATATTAAAGTCTGGAAAACCTAACATTAGCTTTGCAGAAAATGCGATTACAAAGTTTTATCAACTTTATAAAATATTGCGAGCAGGCGGCCACCTGCTATCCATGGAGCCCAGCTTGTTTGGGACCCTCGCACCATCTGGGTGCAGTGGAACAGCTAGGTAGGTCTAGGGCGTCTGCATCTGCTTCCCCATTCAGGCTGTGCTTGGAGAACTGTGGAATTCTAAGCGATCAGGCGGGTGACCTCTTTCCCCAGAGCCCAGCTTGTTTGGGACTGTGGAGTTCTTAGCAAGCGGGCAAGTGCCACTGGTTCCAGAGCCCTGGTGAACTGGAAGAATGGGGTGCCAGAGTTCCAGGAGCTGCGGGCATATAAGTGGATTTCCAACAGACCCTGAGGAAGCTTTTGAATAACTCTTGAAACACAGGAATATAGGAAAATGACAAAATGAAAGACCAAGTTACAATCTCAAATCCCCATCCCAAGAAAGCTTAGGAGCAATGTATATAGAAGAAAATATATGCCATCCACCAAAAATATCAAACATAATAGCTACTGAAATAAACAAGCAACTCTAGGAAGCTTTAGAGGAATTCAAACTAGAAATAATTTCCCAAGTAAATGAAGAAGTGATAAAAGAAATGAAAGAGATGCTTTTTTAACACAGTTAAAAATTGGAGGAATTAAATGAAAAGATAGAATCGCTAGATGCACAATATAAGAAACAAACAACACATAAAGCAGATGCACAGAGATATACAGGAAATCAAAAATTCCACTGAAAGCTGTGAAAACCACAGCAATGAAATTGAAGATAGAATTTCAGACCTTGAAGACAAGATTGCAGCTAGTGAACAGGAAAGGAAAGATCTTTTAAAAATAACAAAGAATCAGGGAATAACAATTCAAAAACTGCAAGATGACTCAAAGAAAAACAACATAAGTTTGATAGGGAATAATGAAAAAGAAGGGGGTGACATAAAGGACATCAAGAGGATATTTAGTGAAGTAATAGATGAAAATTTCCCAAGAATGAGATTGGAAACACATATCAGGTTCAGTGAAGCATATAGAACTCCAAATAGTCGTAACCAAAATAAAACTACACCCAGACATATAATAAATACGATCCCAGAAATCCAACAGAAGAATAGATTATTAAAAGCTGTCAGAGAGAAAAGACAGATAACTTACAAAGGAAAATCTATCAGAATCACAGCTGACTTCTCAGCACAAACAATTAAGTCAAGAAGAGCATGGAGTGAAGTATTCCGGATCCTAAAGGAAAATAATTTCCAACCTAGACTGATGTACCCTTCAAAACTATCCTTCAAAATCAATGGTGAAATAAGATACTTCCATGAAAAAGAACAGCTGAAGAATTTCAAGACAACCCTGCAAAAAATACTGAAAGACAGTTTAGATACACTTAGGAAAAAAACAACTAAGCAAAGCAAATAATTAAAAGGAACAGAAAGATAAAGATGTAACAACAGAAGGATAACATGTCAACAGTAAACCAACATACAACAGTTATAACCATTAATCTAAATGGTCTCAATACGCCAACGAAAAGAAACAGAATGGCAGAATGGATCAAGAAACAAAATCCAACCATATGCTGTCAACAAGAAACCCATCTAACCCAGAAGGATACTCACAGACTGAAAGTCAAAGGATGAAAAGCAATACTTCATGCAACAGGAACCCAAAAAAAAGCAGGAGTAGCCATTCTGCTTTAGACAATGTGAACTTTAAACCATAATGTTCAGAAGAGACAAAGAAGGTCACTACATACTGGTTAGGGGAAAACTTCAAGAGGAAGAGATAACTATCTTAAATATATATGCACCAAATTTCAGAGCATCCAGTTATATAAAACAAGTATTAACAGAAATGAAAAATCAAATTATTAGCAACACAATTGTAACAGGAGACCTTAACATACTATTGACACCAAGGGACAGATCAACCAGACAGAAAATCAGCAAAGAAATAACAGAACTGAATCACACATGGGAACAAATGGACTTGATAGACATATACAGAGTGTTCCATTCAACAACATCAGAATACAGCAGTACATGGGTCATCCTCTAAAAATAGACCATATATTAGCCTACAGAATATATTTAAATAAATGCAAAAGAGTTGAAATTATCCCTTATATATTATCGGAGCATAGCATTTTGAAATTAGAAATTAATAATAAAAGATAATGCAAAAATCCCACAAACACATGGAAATTGAATAACACACTCTTGAACAATGAGTGGGTCACAGAGGAAATTAAAGAAGAAATTAAACAATACCTACAAGAAAATGAAAATACAGATACAACTTACTGGAATCTGTGGGAAGCACTGAAAGCCGTCCTCAGAGAAAATTTATTGCACTGAGTTCCCACATTATGAAAACAGAATGAATACAATAAATAACCTGATGCTACACCTCAAACAGCTAGAAAAAGAAGAGCAAGTCAAGCCCAAAGCCAAAAGAAGAGAGGAAATTATAAAAGTCAGAGCAGAAATCAATGCAATAGAGACTAAGAAAACAATCAAAAGAATCCATTAATCAAAGAGTTGGTTCTTTGAAAGAAAAAATAAAATAGATATGCCTCAAGCCAACCTTATTTTAAAAAGGGAAGAAAAAGGTCAAATTCATGCAATAAGAAATAAAAAAGGTGAAATCACTATAGACTCTATAGAAATACAGAAGATCATCAACACCTATTTCAAAAACCTCTACTCTCAAAGGTTTGATAATACAGAAGAAATAGACAGATTCCTGGAAACATGTGAAGTACCAAAGCTAGGTCAAGAGGACATAAAACTGCTGAATAACTCAATTTCTATTAACGAAATTGAAAATGTAATTAAGTCCTTACCTACAAAAAAGACCCCAGGCCCAGATAGATTCACTGCAGAATTCTACAAGAAATACAAAGAAGACCTAATGCCAACACTCCTCAAACTCTATAATGAAACTGAAAGGGAAACAATCCTTCCAAAGTCATTCCTGGAAGCAAAATTTACTCTAGTACCAAAACCTGAGAAAGATCCAACTAAAAAAGAGAACTATAGACCAATCTCCCTAATGAACACAGATGCAAAAATCCTCAATAAAATATTGGCAAATAGGATACAGCAAATCATCAAGAAGATTATACACTATGACCAAATGGGATTCATCCCATGCATGCAGGGATGTTTCAACATACATAAATCAATAAATGTAATCAACCATATCAATAAAGCCAAAAGTAAGAATCACATGATCATTTCTATAGAAGAAGAAAAAGCTTTTGATAAGATATAACATTCATTTATGATAAGAACCTTACAGAAAATTGGAATAGATAGTCTTTAGCTCAATATAATAAAGGCCATCAATGACAAACCAACATCCAGTATCATAATACATGGCCAAAAATTGAAGGCCTTTACTTTAAAATCAGCACAAGACAAGGATGTCCTTTACCTTCACTCTTATTTTATATAGTACTGGAAATACTAGCCAGAGCAATTAGACAAGAGAGAGGAATAAAAGGAGTAAATATAAATACTGCATGAAAAAAATCAATTATATTTAAAGTGTTTTTGGTTTTTGGCTTCGTTGTCTTCATTGTTAAATGACTGAAAATGGTTGGATGCTTACTTTGCTTGTTTAATTCTGATGGTCTGTCACCTTTTCGTGCGTATTGTCTGGGGGCCCTATTAAGGATGAGGATGAGGAAGAATCCCGAATGGTCCTGCTCTGCCATACGAGCTCTGTGCAGAAGGAAAACTGGAGCTTCTGGCCTTCCTGCTGTGTTGTGGTGCAATGTGAAATCTCAACCTTCCCTTCCCTCCAAAATCTAGCTGGGTATCTGAGGTTCACCTTCGCTTGGATTTCCCCTTTTCTATTTTTCCCACAACACTAAGATTTCAGCATTTTTAAACAATTTATGGTAAAATCTGAACTTTAACAATTTTTCTTCATGTGACAATTTTTCTTCCAGCAATGTGCTTCATATTTGTTTCGCTTTCCAGTATTTATCACTTGCATAAGCA